TGACTGTTTGGGCTGTAAGTATTTTTTACGGCCATTACATTGTTTACCGCTCATGTTGTATATTTATTTTTTAAACGTACAGCCCAAATAAAAAGTCTTTTTTTTTTCTTTTGTAACTTACGAAAACCACACAGCCCTATTTGTTGGGCTTTAAAAGTTAGTGATTATAAAAACAATTAAATATTAGGTTAACACAACGTAAAAGAGAAATATCACCAGAAAAAAGTAAGAAATATGAGTGTTGATCAAAAATACAATACCTAATTGAAATAACTCTTACCTTTATATATATTAGATTTTTGTGAACGCGAGATTAGAATATTCGAAAAGAAAAATTCATTAATTTTTTTTATAATACACGGGAAAAATTAAAAATAATAAAGATCAAGAAGTTCATTATTTATTATGTTGAAAATAACATAGAATTTCTATGTTATAACCTTTTTAATTTGCATAAACTAATTTGTTTTTAAAACTATATCAGATATCTTATATTTACCAATCGTGTTTTTATTTTAAAATAGTTACAGCTATAGCTCTAAAAATTACAGCAAAAAATGTACAGCAAAAAAATCTGCAGCAAAAAAAAAATGAACAGCTACAGCCAAAACACTTACAATACTTAATATACAGTTACAACCTAACCAATCATCCACACAGACTCACAATAACATAATTATAGTATTACTTTAAAGCAATCGAACTACTTATAAAGACGTTAAATTATGATACATTTGGTCTCACATGATCTAAATATAACCAAAATATTAAGTTTAAAATCCAAATCATATTTTAGTATGGTTTAAATGGATTTGTTAAATGTATATAGTAAACGAAACATATCTAAATTTAAAATTAACCGAGAAGAAATAAAGAAATCTCAAAACCTAAAATAATGGTCTGTTTTGGGTCTTCTGGCATATGAACATGTGGCTAAATTTTGCATTAGTTTAATTCTTTTGGTTATCCAAAATTTACATCAACTAACAACAACCAAGATTTTTTTTTTGTTAAAATTATTTTCATGAATGAAATGTAAATTGACTGTTCATTTAATTTATAAGAGGACGAAATTCTCAACGACTATTCCAATATGTTTTTCCAAGATTTTATCCTAGACATCTAAGATATGCATTTATGTTGTTACAATTTTTACGATTTATACATTCATTCTAGGGTTTAACGTCCGTACTCAAAGAATTTGATGGTCTAGAGTAATTAAAAATATCAAATATTAGTAAGTTCTACTTTCTATCATTAATCAAATCTTATGCGACTACCTCGTATCCAACTTAACGTAAACATCATAATGTCGGCCTCTAAAATATTCTCTCCAACTTATGGTCGTAGTTGGTAAAAGAGATTCTTTTTTTTTCTGTGTGGATCTCACACTCAAATTTTTAATGATCTAATGGGCTTTATGGTAAACGGGCTCTAAAGTTCTGGGCCTGTGTATTCTTCCCAATCAAAGGTTCTCTGCTAATTAAAACGTTTGTGTATTCAATCTGTAACATTTACATTACAACGAGAGAGATAAAGAAACAAAAAATGAAGGGAAAAGCTCATTTCTGCTATGTGGAGCAGCAACCTGATTTCTTGACGGCTGAAACATCATCTCTGCTTCCGACATTAATCATTTGTCCTTTAGGCAAAGCAGTGGTTGGATTGTCTCCAGCTTCAAGAGCTTTCTTGCTAACGACTCTATAAATTTGAGTGAGAACCTCTGTGAAAGCGTTTTCGACATTCATAGCTTCGAGTGCCGAAGTCTCCATGAAGAAAGTGTTCTCTCTCTCTCTGCAAAAGCTTTCACTTCTTCCGTTGAGATGGCTCGAAGGTGACACAAATCAGCTTTGTTACCTACGAGCATGATCACAATGTTTGCATCCGTGTGGTCTCTTAGCTCCTTTAGCCATCTCGCAACATTCTCGAATGTCACGTGCCGTGTCACGTCGTAGACCAATAACGCTCCAACCGCTCCTCGGTAATAAGCGCTCGTGATCGCTCGATACCTATTTCCAAATGCTCAATAAGAAAAATGGAATACATACTCGAAAAAGCGATATAGCAAAAAGGTGGCGAGAAATCGTTCCCAAGGAGCAGTTGGAACACACGACCTCTAACGAACTCTTCGGTTTCAATTTGCTTGATTTTATAGAAACCCAACTATTGTGGACCATCAAAACTCAATTATGATGTGAAATCTGTGAAAACTAAACCGAAGATTAATTTTGTAGATATCTTATTGTAATAAGGATCGATGATTTGAATATGAGTAGAAAGATTACGATAAATTCTAATTAGTTAGAATTAGTTTAATCTCATATGATGATATAAATATCTTCTATCACTAAAGTTTAATATCATTTCCCAATATCACTTTTTACTTAGACATAAAACGAAATAAAAATCATTTGTAGTTTGGTTTGATATGACCATATGACAAAATTTAAAATTTGAAATTCAATTAAGTTTGGTTTTCGAAAATGTTGTATATTTTTATTACATTTTTATCAATGATACAAAAACTATCTTAAGAATACAAATGAAGAATTTTAATTCAAAAAATACTTATGTGATATTATAACATCTACATTTTTATTTATTAAAATTTAAATAAAGTTTTGGTTTGGTTCGGTTGCACAAAAGTAGGTGTCGTTTTAGATAATAACGAATGTGATTGGAAACATGAGTTTACCATTTGTTTATATGAATTATAAACCTAACTTAAAATGCTACCAATCATGATTATAAATCGTCCAA